CGGAGAATTGTTGATGCCCCATGGTACATATCAAACTTAACCTTACATACTGACCTAGACATGCCCTATGTAAACTATGTAGTTAAATCAAATGCAATCAAATACAAAGACCGCAACACCGCTCACAACAACCAACTTATAAGTGAACTAATCACCCAACCGCTGAACAACAGAAGACTACACCGGCTATGGCCTGAAGATCTGACGTTATAAATCCTAGAGAACCGTCGATGGGCGGTGCCTGGCTCAAGTTATATCCTACACGCTGTATACGATTTACTAATTACTCTGTATTATTTCGAGTAGATTGTAAATTAGCAATAAAGTTTAAAAAAAAAAAAAAAATCTATATTATCTACAAGGCTGACCATATGTTGCACCAGAAACAAAAAAAAAACGATGGCAACATCCAGACCATTCATCCCGTCAGTTTTGTCGAATGTATGGATGAAAAATGTTGAACCCAATGACTACCACAAATTAACCTGCGCTAAGGAGATGGCGGAAGGTTGAATTAAACCGAAATAAATGGAATACATGGGAAAAATTCGTTCAATTGGTATCAAGCCAAATTTGGACGATATAGCGCCCATGTGTGCTAATGGGGAAAATAGTTTAATAGGGTCTTCAGGAATAAGTACAATAGCACAGTTAACGAACGTTCTAGAACGAATTCAAATTGCAAATGAAGAAGAAAGATCGAGAATTTAATTTACGGTCATGGAATATCATTAGAGTGGGATATGAGAACATTAGAAGAGGGACAGAGAAGTAGGTACAACTAGAACAGAAACCAGAAGGGCTGAAAGGGGTAAAATCAAAATATTAATAGAAATTGGGAAAACTACGGATGAGAGGACCAGGAGCTCTACTAGTCCTCAGAAATCCCAAAAAAGCAAGGCACAAATAAGTTTAATTAATATTATTCAAAATTAGGAAATTAGAAGAAAATAATAAACAAACACATATGAAGAAAATAAAAAAGAAATAATAGTAAAACAAATCAAAATTCAAGAAATTAAAGTTAAAGAAGGAGAAAATTTAAATAATTTAATATCAAGTTAAAGAAGGTGAAGAAAAAAAGGAATGAAGTGTCAACCAGTCAGTTTAGAGAAGTTGGAGGGGGTAGAAGAGCCAGAAGAAGTTAAAATTGGTAAAAGAAATTAGAAGAAAGGATACTCAAGGTCAAGGAGAGCTCAAGAAGATATCCTGAGAGCACAAAGTTCAATGTAAAACTTAAGCAGACATAAGAAAAGAGAACATTCAGTTTGGAGAAAGGATATTTGAAAAAAGAAAAACAAGCGACAGTATTACAAGATGTGAACAAGAAGTTACAACAAGAAGTTCCCAGATTACCATTATTCATCAAATTTATTTGTTAACTGCAAAATCAAAGTTGCTACGATATAAGGTGAGGCCTGCTTATGGAGAATTATTCGGAAAAAAATTAATGAGATGGCAACGTTGACAAAAAGCCAAAAATGAATAGGTTTCCATGTAGAGGTTAACAAATGACATCGTAGCAGGTAAAAATATACAGGGTGTTCGATTTAAAAAAATCAGTTATTTATTGACACCGTAAAAATGGAACACTCTGTAAATTCAAAATTAATTTCTGTAGATGGGTAACCACTGAATATGTGTCTCAGAGGTAAAGCGTTGGGCTACATAGCCGGAATGGTTGGTTGTTCGAACCTGGGCTGAAGTAAGAATTTTTCATCTGTGGCAGAGATTGGAATTTCCTTTGATCAGTTTCGAGCATTGGGTCAGCTACTCCGAATTGGGTTTTCCGGCAGTTTTCCTAATTCGTAAGGTGATTAACGGAGTTATAGAACAACTTAAGACCTGCACGGGTGCCTCTAAATAACATTATGCGGGTCACTGGGTAATTGGGCGCAAGCCTGTTGAGAGCCCAGCACAAGAGAGGTACAATGAATAAATAAACCTATAATTTACATTTGCATAATAGTATATTAAGATACAAGTGTATAATCAAGTCTTTAAAGCACGCGCAACGAGATTAAGGGCACGACGCAAAGCGGAGTGCCTTTAACGTTGCAAGTGCTTTAAAGACCAATTATACACGTGTATCTTATAGTATTTTTTATTATACCTGCAGTATAATTTAAAAATAGGAAATACTATATTGACGTTATACTCGAATACATGTCTAATTAAGTGGGCTGGGTGTTCGTAATTTCACGATTGCCATGGAAATGTCACTTGACGTTTGCTTATAAAAATCATCGTCTTTGTGAATTAAACGATTTCCGTTGAAAAAGATAATACACCGTCCATTAAATCGATTGTTGTAAAATCTAAACATCTGGTAGGTGTAAAATCCAAATCCAGTAAAGCCAATTATAAAGAATATGAAAAGTTTTTTCCATGGATGGAATAGGAAGTTACTTACGAATAAAGTCTTAAATGCATCCATAATGCTGGCATATATGAAGGAAATGTCAAAGGTATTTAAATCTTCTATATTTTGGTGCATTCATTCAAAACTTTAAAGCAATGCTGCGATTAAAAAGTGGAACAGATTTGGAAGCATACCCTAAATTACGCGCGTTTGTGAAAGCTTCAACCAAAGGATAGGTACAAAAGCCAAAGAAATGTTCTGCACTTACAGAAAGCGACCTAAGAGGATTTTTTATTTCATCCAGTTGACAGTTTCAGAAGTCATACTTGAAGTATCGTTACTTAGCAACTTTAAAGCACGTGTGTTTTAAAGGCCTTTTTCGCACGCATTTGAGTGTTTAAAACGGAGATTGTGATTCAGGTATAATAAAAAAGGTTTTTCCCACCATGACGTCAGTGAACACCTTTCCGACAGGAAAATCAAACCAGACGGCCTTCTTCCCCACTTTTTTCTTATGCATATTTATCCATAGTTTAACCTCTACATTTTTATCTTTTCAAGTGCCTCTAGGAGCATTTACTGACGCTTTTAGGACTTTGAGTAGCTTGTATTAAGGAATTTGTGAGCATTTTAATCGCATTGTAATTTCTTTACAATCTTCGCCAACTTCTCAAAATCCCAATCGTATCAAACACCTCCATAGCAGTTTGCTAATCATTTAAATTTAACCAAATGTGGAGAACTGGCCTTATTCCCAAAAAAATTCACACTTTGCTACCTATAAAATTTAACTTAGCAGGAGTAGAACATTACAGAAAAACGGTACCTATTACATATAACGTACATCCAAAGAGTATATAACGAATACTCTTAGGTACAACTACAACATTAGCTAGATGACGTTACAATGGCATAATTTTATCTAAAGTAAATTGGATTATTCCAGTTTCATTCTATGGAATATTATCACAGAGATTGATGATGTTACCACTGTCATTGCATAAACGCAAGATATTAGTTTATATTTTTTTACAATTTGGTGTAAAGAATCATTAAAAAACGATATATGTAACACATTTTACTTGAGAGATGGAAAATATTTAGTATAATTCTATAAAATTTGTCATTTTCATTTGCCCCCACTCTAGATCTACCGGCTACTTCCAGAATGTAGTATAGTTCTGCTTGCCATCTTTAAATTTCAATTGCGCATTTTCTGAAAATTGTGTGATATTTAATAAGTACCTACCAGATAATAAAAGTTACACGTAATTTTTCATTATGTATTGCCTTTTTGGTGATACGCTTCGCTTTGTTTCATGGCGATATCAGATGAGATAAAGTATGAATTATTCCTGATACGACATCTGATTCTGGTTCAATCCAGTTACATTAAAATAAGGGCACGAACCACCCTGAATTGCTTCCATAAACTGGTCTACAGACTAGACCCAGGGCATAGAGGAAATACAATTTCCTCTATGCCCAGGGCTAGTATAACTGACTAATGTTAGTGCTAAAAACTAGTACGCAGAGGTAATTACACCTAATCTTATAAGGTGTTGATAAATTGCAGTAAATTTACCAACACATCGTGATTAAACAAACTTTATCAGAATAATAGATAAAAGTGATTTAATTGTAGCCAAAGGTAATGTGTGTGCAAATCGTAATGGAAAACTTTTGCAAATTGAATTTTGTTGTGAAACGTTTAGATTGGCGATTAGCGACAATACATAGTTGCATTAGCATATTGTCAGAAAAGATTAAGCCCGTTTTACATACTGAAAGCTTTTTGAATCTTAAAATTCTCTTAGTCGAGGGCATACTCAATATGTGCTTTCTTGAAAATAACACTTTCAACTTTTCGGTTCGGACGTGAAATTATTCACTTTCGGCTGAAATGTTAGGACTGGCAACTGCAAGATTGGATATTTAAAATTAAGGTTGTTTTGGGTCTTAGATCCTAGCTGAAATTAAGTAATTAAGCAAGTTATGCAAGGCCTCCATCTAATCTATATTTTTTTAGGTTGCGGTATTAGTAAAATTTCATGTGAAAGTGAAACAGAATTGCAGCATGTAAAGCACATCTATCACTTCAAAAAATCCCGGAAAGTTATTTCACTTTCAACTTCCATGAAATAACGTATATCATTTAAAACGGGCTTTAGCACACTAGATTATTAGGAAGTTGTGAAGGATGCGCTTCATTTTAAAGGCATATAATATCCGCATGCAATGCAACTGCATTAGTGGACATCTTTAAACAACTGCACACTGCAATATCTCATTTTTGGCACACCTCACAATGCTAGTAAGAATCTACCAGCAGAAGCCAAAGTGATGCATGTCCAAAATATGGCACCTTTTCCTACCTAAAAATCCACCCTCATCGCGTTTGTATGCATTCAAAAGCATGGTTCGGATGGCCTATTCGCTACGTAATAACCTTTAAAATGCACCAGCCCCGCGTCATTGAAACTGACCTCATTGTTTGCAATGTTTTGCCGAGCATATCACGTGGAATGCAGTGAAGGACGGGTGAATGTTTGTTATCGCAATCAGGTGAAGTGTCTATTTCGAAAAAAAAAGATAAACCATAACTGGAGATTAGATATAGCGAGGGGTTACTTAAGGGAGTGACACATTCGCTTCAAAAGTTTAGTATCACCACACGCGATTAAAATGGGTAAAGTTTCGAAAGGTATCCTTTTCTTCTTCACGGTGAGCAGAGGCCATTCGGTCAGTGATAAGCTGCAGCAGATGGAAAACCAAAAGGGGGTCCCAAGGCAAAGTTCAAATGTAAGTGATGATTATTTTTTGTCTTCAATGAACTTATATGCATTTCTAGAGTGGCACATCTGTACATTATAAGAAGGGTAAATATCCCCTAATTCATCAGGGCAGTACCATATCCAATTCTTCAACGACGTCGCTTTGATTATGTACTGGAACGATCTCCTATAATACTCATTAAGTTGCTCACTTATATTAAGTGATGACTCGTAAATTATGATTAATGCTATTTTTGTATTGTAATGTAATCATCTAAAACCAATAATTGGTCTTCAGCATTTATAATTGATTGTAATAGTCCATTATAATTAAACTTTCTATCCCAAAAGTGCACAAGAGCTAAGTGCCACCTTACGCAATACTTCTCATGATGCCTTCAAAACTAAACCCATCAATTATTATTGAGAGATGTTTGTATTCTATGCTCTTAGTAGGTGCGGAATAAATATAAGTTGATCTAGCTATCTGTCCCTGGAAAATAAATAAATAAACAAATTGTGAATAAGATTCTACCTGGGTGGCCATATTGTTCCGGCGCGATCACGGAGTATATTTTGAAAATAAATGTATAGGGGAATGCGAGGGGGAATGTATGCGAGAGAATCGGAAATAGTTTTCTGTGATTAACTCTGAGTGACTGATTCATGAAATAGTGTTGTGGTGGAAAATTCGAAAATAAATGTATAGGGAGGTGCGAAAGATGTATATGTGGTGAGATTTAAATATACAGGATGTAATTATAGTTATAAATAGGGTGTTTGTGCTCGGTCATTTTGCTCGTGGGTGTGATAATGGCACTAATGTGCCGAACATTCAATTCTACTGATGTCATTTTGAGTGATTATGTGATGCAGACTGTGAATTTTCTACGAAATGCTTATGTTTGTTACGTTATATCCTAGAGGGCTTGCTCCGAAGGTGTTGTGAAAGTTGTTATTCCCGAGACTCCTTTTTAAATAAACGTAATATCCGCCGTACATGAAATCGCGTAGAGCGGTAGTTATAAATTGGTCTCGTTTCAGTGTCTATAGTGATAGTGCATGATGGCAAAGCGGACGGCAAAGAAGTCGCCGAACTATCAGGTGATACATTGTTATGGTATAACGACACAAGAATATACCGATCGGTTGAAGGAGGAAGAGGGCGGTTTGTCTTACAATACGACGATACCGTTAAATAATATACGAGGCATAGTTCTGCAAATAGGACTTAATCTAGAAAGTGATATGTGTTGTTGTGCGAGGATTTTTAAAATGGATGCTGATCAAAGTGTGTGATTCAATTACGATATTTTTATACGATTCATTGGTTGTTTGGGGGCATTTCAAATCACAAAAGCTTTAGTTTCATTTATGGGATTCGAATTTCTTGTTGGCAAAGAGCCCCATTTCCTTTTAATTGTTGCTTAATTGTACTTTTTAATTGTTGAATAAGAAACACTCTTCCATGGGGCACTTGTTTAAGATAACGGCTAACCGAAAATCCATAAAACATTAACTTAAAAACCTAGAGACAACCTAAAAGCTAAAAGTACGAATTCCAAGTATATGGAATAAGATAGATATAGTTACACAACTCACCATAGTATAGCCATAGTCCAATTCTCTTTTATTCGTATACCAACCTGTCGCGTGTACTCTTTGGGGAGCATAACTCATGCAGGCTTTCCAAAAATCTTGGGTATAAAGACAATCTGCCCTCTTAAGAAAAATGCTAATTAAAGTATAATCTACAATTTCTGGAAAGTTGTGTAACTGTTATATCTGCCATCCATAATGCAAATAACGTGCGTGCACTGTATCAATATTTTCCCTAGTAATGTGAAAATTGTTGTAATATGAAAATTGCTTGTGTCGCTTGGCAAAAGCTAATATTAACCTAATTAAGATTCTTTGCTAGACAAAAATGAAGACATTCGGCCGTTTAAATGTTTGGTTTGTTAAAAAACGTAAATAGAAGAAGAAATTTGGTGTTTGAACAACTAATTGATTTTTTTATGCAAAATCTGGATGCTCTAAGAATACCGTAATTAACGCAAATTATGAAGGGAACTTTATTGTATTACGCAGCTTAAATTTACACTCTAAAGCTAGCCACTACACAACAAAGCAATTAGGGTTCCGTTGCTTGTCAAAGGGATTGCGCTCTCAGTAGAAATACAATTATCCTTAGAACAAAGTAAATGGCGCAGTTTGACTCTGGACTTGTCCGAATTCAAGCGGTTTGGTATTGCGAAGGAAAACTTTATCATTGCTTCGAAATTCCCGAAATCAGTTTGATTGCAAAGACATTCTTGCTTCAGCGATCACCGCTCGCTTTTCTCCAGACGTACACGTATACATTTCTTAATGTACCTACTTCATCATAACACGTACACAACGTGCAATGCATAATGCAATTTTTTCGAAGGAAAAATTTTGTTGATAACTACAGGTGCTGTAGAGATGAAGGTATACATATTTTTGCTTGTCGAGAGAAGCGGCAATACTTCAGTTGCCAGTGTAAATAACGGTGGAGTACGTGCCCAGAATGTTTCAAACATAAACGCCAAGTTTCTCGTATTAAAAGGGGGAAACATAATCCTATTGAGGGAGAAACTGTAGTGCAATGCACACAACAATCAAACGGGGGTCATCATTAACCGCTACCCTCTCACTACTTCCTTAACCAAACACGCGGAAGTGGTTTGGGGGTATTCTGAAAAACGCTAATATCATCCCGCGTTTCGTAATTACGTCCCCCATTTTCGTAAGAAGGTGTAGGCCATTCCATGGCATCCGTAGAGATTATTTTATTGGGTTTAGTCCGTCCCTAAAGACTTCATGTTTTGATGATTGGAGGAATTCTATAAGTAATTTAGTAATGCTGCAAATAATTCTAAATGCCACATTACTTGCGGTGTACTTACGTACACTGTAAAAACGTGTACAATGTTGATTTCACCGCTAGCTGTATGTAAAACAATTAGGTGGCAGAAGGGACTAAACAAACAGTGTTTCGAAATCAACCAATGGTCAATATTGTTTCATTTGGGAGCTATGCTATCAAATAAACTCCCGGAAGCACGTGTAATTGTCACTATGCTGAGCGTTTTTCCCCAAACATTAACTGGTTTGGTCCATTATGGACTTCGTGGTCGGACGACTCTAGTCAGGGAGGTTAGCACAAAGAGCCCAAATTTGAGGCCTAGGTACGCGTGGACCGTGTCCACCCTCCTATCGTAATTCAGAATACAGAAGGGTATGAAGGATTTAAAATTTTTTTAGTTTAGTTAGAAAGATCTTAATTCTGAGCAATGTAAAAAGTAATATATCCTAAGAGTTAATAGAATCTGAACAAAAGCAGAAAAGTGAAGGAACCTGGAATTTGCAAAAAGGCTAGAGAATCTGACGTATTCTCAGCACTTAAAAAATAAAAAAACTGCGAAGCATGTGATGGATCTCAACAATTCTCCTAAAGATTTGAAAAAATCGAGTTACTGCAATATTTTGCAAGATTTGAATAAAGTGAAGATTCTAAAGACGCCATATAGTATAATGCAAACTAGAGGAGGTGTAAGAATGTGGAGGAAGCATGGAAATGAACCAGAAGAATCCAAATATGTATTTTTAAGCATGAGAATCATCTGAAATAGTGTTAAGAATAAAAACACCAGGGAATCTAAATCTCATGAATTTTAGGCCCCCAGATGGATACAAGTTTGAAGAATGCGAAGTATCTTACTAATGTAATAGATCTGATTAATCAGAGGAATACAATCCAAATCCAAACGAATGCGACGAATCTGAAGGTAAAAAAATGGCAAAGTGAAGTATAACATTTTTAATAATTCGAACAATCTGAATTTGGGAATCAGTCAAATCGAAAGGGATCTCAACATTTTATAAACGAACGGAACACCGAACGAATAGAAAAATTCAAATGGATTAGCTGTTCAGCTATCCACGAGCATCCTAAACAATCAATTGGCCCAAAAAAGAAAAGTCTACAACTTACAATACTAAAGAGACCGACTAAATTTGCATTTCACGGAACTGAAATTAGTTTTTGAAAATTCGAAAAAAAATCCACTGTAATTCTTGGCCGGACAACGAAATGGAAAGAATTCAACGAAATTTGCTGGGTACAAGCCGTAGGCATTTTATAAAATGATTTTGTAAAATCCGTCATTTTGCAGTTTTTAAAACACGGGCACAGTGTACTTTCTAGGGCTAAACGATTGCGTTCCCTCCCCCTTTTGTTTTGCGAAGAATCCTTCTCTTCCACTGAATTTTTACTTATGCACTCGCCGAATCAATAAACTGAAACGCACCAAACGAGAACCAAGATTCGGCTATGTTTCTTATACATATCCAGATATGGCAGAAACTGCGTCCCATTCTGATCTTCTGATCTTAACGCGCTTCATTTTCTCAGATATTAGTTCCGTTCTTTGTCATTATGGAGCGGTACAATTCCCTATACCGGCAAATTTGTAAAATCAAAACCAAAACTTTCTAAGCCTAAAGCAACCACCTGATACACGAGATTCCTCAGTTTTTCCTGTTGTTCAGTTCAAAATCTTCATGATTTTTCGAATTCTTACGTTTCTTCAGCTTTCCGAAATCCTATTTTAAAATCCCATATGGCTGTACAGATCCTTAATACTTGTACACATGATCATCCCTGAATAACCAATTCATTAGCGGCTCGACATCCAAATTATAAAACCAAAAATTCAAAATTACACATTTCTGAATTATAAAAGTTAAATCAAATGTTTAAAATCATCACAAACTCTGACTGGCGGAGCAAGACAGTTGTATAGCAAACCGTATTGTGTACAGAAATCAATATCATCACATACAAATTGAAATTTGTAATTACGTATAGTTTAGTTGATAGTGAAATGGCAATTTGAATGTAAATTTGCGAACACCATTAGGTATCTCAACGTTTGTTGAGAGACGAAATAGGTATAGAAACCAATTGAGAGATATTACGAGCTGTATGATTAGAAATTGCGCTAATATCGGTTTCTGAAATTCAATTGCCATTGGCGATATACCCGAACATAAAAGTGGTCCGATGCATTTCTGATTCATCTGACTATGCGTTTCAGTAGGATGTGAAATATTCCAGTGGAAGTCGATTCTCAATTAAGCCGTGGTCGCCATACATCACGACCCACATAGTCTTTCACATGTCAATAACAAAAAGAAAACAACTTTATAAATTATTTATGAACAAACATCGCCGATATTAAATATTCGGACATTTTGAGGCCTCCAGAAAACTTCTCGGCCTGGATGGAATAAATGAATACGTTATAACCCTACAATAGAAATTATAATTGAAGTTCTGCGGTAGCGAAATGTAGATTAATATCCAAAGTGTATCTGAATATTAAGAAATGTAATTTTCTCACTCTAAAAGGTTTAGTAGAAATAGCGTATTTTGAGTTGGTTTATAGCCTATCGACTGTGCAGTCTGTTATGAGCTTTGCATATGGTTTC